ATTTTTCACTTTGGCCGGCTGAGCGGCTTCAGTAATTTCCTTGGAGAAGGCCGACGGCTGTTCGCCAAGTCTAAGCAACCGTAGCTGCCAGTCCATAGGTTGGACGTTTTTTGCTGCATGTCCACCAAACGGAGGTGGCTGTAAAAAATACTGTTGTTGCGGTACAAATGGTAAGTTTGGTATCGCTTGGTCGCTATGATAGCCGGACTGACGGGAGGTGCCGCCTGACTGACTCTCATGATACGACTGAGTATGCCTCATCGATGTATTTCGCGGACTGTCTTGGAGGTTTGAAGTAGAGGCCGACTCTGACAATTGGTCACTCTTCTTCTACTCTAGCAGTAGCCGAGCGTCTGTGTATGTTTTCCTCGACCCGTCCGCCTGAATATGACGAACAGGTTTCCTATTTCCTGGAGTAGGAAAACGGTATTTTGTGAAATCAAGGGCAGGTGGCTCCCGCTTCCTAGATTTAGGATGAGGGGTCGCCTCTCGCCCTTGAACTGGCTTCCTCTTCTGTGAAGTGGAGGGTTTCTTAGCCGACTGCTCCTTGTCCAAAGCAGGCGGCTTCTTGTTGATCAACTCTTGAATTTCTCCCTTGAAGTCCCTCATGAAGGTCATGAGTTCGTTCCTTGTGATGGGAGCAAACCCATCAGTCGGCTGCTGCCGAACAGGCGGTGCGCCTGCTGGCTCGCTTCTAGCATGAAGATGTTCCCGTTCCCTCCTTTCGGTATGACGGGTACGTCGTGCCCTTAGGGTCCCGTCTGAAGCTGTGTGAGCTTCAACTTCAAATTCATTCTCAGTATCGTGGTCCGACTGAACTAGAGGGTCGTCCAGGGGACGTCTCTCTTCAGGAGTCGGTACAAACGTGGATGCCATCTCAGAAGTACTCTCCCCACAGACGGCGCCAAAATGTTTCAGGGTTTATTCTGATGTCCTGCGGGAGAGTTACAATTCCAAGACTGGAGCCAGACGCCTGTACCTGCAAAACAAACGGATGCTCCGGATGATTGGAGATCCGCCTCCGACGATCAAGTTAGTACTTGATTAACGAGTAATTAATGCGGAAATTAAAGTGATTGGGTCTCTCTAGGTGAGAGAGTTTAATGTGTGTAATCTGCCTCTCCTTTTTCCTTAATGAGGATTAAGGGAGGTATTTATAACCTCGGGAAACGTGCCAATCTAGGTTTAGGTTAACCTTGGGCTTATTGGGCTTCCCTCGGAAGTTGGGCCTTGGTGACCAGTTATCCCAGGTGTCATGGGAAGGACACGTGTCGTGTCGTAATTGGTCCATAGTGGACGGATCATTGCTTGACACGTGGCAGGCTCCTATTGGCCCATGTGACGGACACATGGCGGAACCTGATTGGTCCACTTGTCAGATGGTGATTGGTGGGAAAAATCCCCTAATCACATATAGTTGGGGGGTTTTAATTATTTGTTAACCTTATATTGTTTAAGTTTATATTTAATTGTAGGGTGTGTTCGATCAAGGTTCTTGAGGTTCTTTTTGTGTGGTGTTTCTAGCAAGGATCAAGGTACGTTTAGGTGGCTAGATACCTTTGAAAGTGATTGGTTTGAATAACATGTATTACATGATTTGATTGGTGATTGAATTAAATTGATTTGAATTATGATTTTGAAATAAATTATGTTTGAAGTTGTTTGGGTCCAAGGTATTTATTTTAATAAAATTATTTTGAATGATTGATTTTTAAATCATGTTTTGAATGGTTTGGATTACTTATTGTGTTTAAATAAAGGAATTGATTTTAAAAGGTTGGTTGAATTAAATAAAGGTTTTTCAAGGAAGAATTGTTGATTTTGAAAAGTTATTAATATGATTCTCAAGTATTTATTTACAAGGTTTTATTTTGAAAGCATGTGGAATTAACTAAAAAGGATTTTGAATTTTATTGGAACTATTGGATATTGAAAGGATTTATTGAACCATTGAATTATATTATTAATGCTTTATAAGCATGTTAATAATCCCACTATGCGGATTTGGTTTATTGATAAGGCCTTGGACTTTTTATGACCGGGTCTTTCCTCAAGAATAGCCTTGTAATATAAGGAGACTAGCTTAGGGGGTGTGCACACTTGGGTGGGGAATTGGATTAAAAGGAATTGGTTCTTAATAAAGGAATTGGTTTTATTAACTATTATTTTGAATATTGAATCATTGGAATCGGTTTTGGAATAATGAGTTTGAAATTATTCGATTAATCATTGGAATTGGTTTTAAAAGCTTGTTTGCAAATAAATTGAGTTTGCATTATGTTGCACTTATCGTACTTAGCATATTTTGCTAATCCGTATTTCTTATTTGTTTTGGTTCTCCCTGTTTACCATAATGGTAAGCAGTGTTGACTATTTTCAGGTGGAGTCATGAATGAGCATATGGGAGTCCTGGGATTTGCTTCACCTAGTTTAGGAATGTTGGTTTGCTCTTTATTTTTGAGCACTCATAACAATGTTACTATTTTTATAAGTATTAATAAAAGAAAGTTGAGTTTCCGCTGCAAGTTTTGTTATTGAGTTAAGTATTTTGAGTAGCCTTGCGTAATCACGCGCCGGTAATCCGACCAAGTCTATCTCTACGGTATAATTATACGTATTATATTAGTATTTTCGTAGAGGGAGATTTGGGGGTGTTACATTTGCAGGGAATCCCACTTACTTGCCATGCCCTGCAGCTAAATTTTCTTTCTTGCATATTCACAACAAATCTATCTTGTGTAGCACACCTTCCCTCACACCATAACATCACCCATTATCTCAGTAAGCATTCTATCCCATTGCCCATATCTTATGCTTTTCTAGTTTTTTGTTGAATTCTAGGGCATAACACCATGTCTTTGCTCTTTATCTGGTCCCTCTTTTTATGCAGTCTCTCCATAATCCCTTCCCTAATGTCCTCAAGCATGGTTATAATTGGCTTATGTCTAGAATTTAGGATGAATGCATTGAAGACCTCACTCATGTTGTTGTCAACACTGTCACAACATGAAAGAGGAATGTAAAAAGCCCTGCACCACTTTTGGTAATTTCTTTTCAACAAATCCTCTACTGCATCATCGCTGATGTCCCTCAAAATCTGAAGGTTGGCATTGAAATCAGCCTCTGTATTACTTTTTGCTATTCTCCAGAATTGTTTCCTGTACTCTAAACCTCCCCCAAAGACAGTTCTGAAGTTACAGTAAACATGTATTGCACAAACTCTGGTTTCAGCTTCAGGGAAGACTTCTGCAACTGAGGCCAACAACCCTTTTTGTTGGTCTGACATAAAATTAAACCCTACACCTTCAATAAGGCCCAAATATGAACACAACAACTCGAAAAACCATGTCCATGAGGCTGTTGATTCAACCTCAACTACAGCCCATGCAAGTGGGAACATTTGGTTGTTCCCATCCCTACCCACTACAACAAGGAGGTGGCCCCCAAAAGGGTCTTTTAGAAAACAACCATCTAAAGATATGAATGGTCTGAAGCCAGCTAAGAAACCTTTTTTTAAGGCTTCAAAACAAATATACAATCTTTCAAAGACATTTCCACTCATTTTGAGTTTAACTGTATTAATTTGTTAGTTCTAAGTAATTCAACAACATACCTAGGTATTAGGGCATATTTCTCCTAATACTCACCAATGATAAACTTATGTTCTAACTTTCTTGCCCTGTATGCTATATATCTTCTTACTTTAACCCCTTTTCCAACCACACTGTCTCAATTACGTCATGAACTTTCATGTAAGGGATGACTTTGAATTTAGGCTAGAAATTAGATGCCACCCATGAAGCTCTTACATGTTTGTCCTTTGCCGCTCTTTCACATGTGGGCTCCCATGTGAAAGTTTTCACTAGAAATTTTCTTTTACCTCTATCCCAAGAACCCCAAATCCTCCAACAACAACCTTTTTCTTTATTTTTACAGTGTGCTCCTACTTTGTCATGTGAGTTCCTAGAGAACACTATGTCTCTACCCATATGAATGACATAATCTCTGATTGCCTTCTTAAAGTTCCCACTGTTCTCAAAGGATAGCCCCACAAAGAACTTGGAATCATTTGTCAAAGAGGCATCACCACCCATTGTGCTGCTCACCTTTGTCTTCTTAGATTCTGGTGCAACAAGATATCCAAAATCCTGATCATCATCAGATTCTGCATCAGTAAGCCCCTTTGAGTCACTGGTGTATGTATTAGGGTGCTTCCCCTTTAAATGTTATACCCTTTTAAGCATGTCCAATTCATCATCACAACACTTCTGCTTTATTGTATCTCCCTTCATCCTATTCCTAGCTTCCACACATTCAATATCATCTTCATCTGAACCCTCACTATCATAATCAATAAAGGGTTCCCCTATATTTTCCAGGCCACCGGATAACAAGTCAATAAAAGATCCACCCCACCACCCAAACCAAAGCTGTTGTCAATGTGCACTGACTGACCAATCTCATGTTCAGTGTACACATGAATGGCCTTAAACTCTAAAAGCAAAGATAGAAAAGGGTCACAGCTCTTATTATCAAAACCCAAATATCTAATGCCAATTTTGAAGTCTTTCCTTGGGTCTAAAAAGTGAACTTTAACAATATCAGTGTGACCCAAACTATCAACTATTTCTTTGATGTATTTACCATCAACACACTTTGGAATATCTTCAAATATACTAACTCTACCCCCCATGTAACTCATGTCCTCATTAAGCACCCATTCCCCTCCATCATGCACAATGACACAAGGTTTCAAGTCCATTTCTGTCAACATACAACAACAGTAAATATGGATTATCTTTCTATTTGCATTTTTATGTGTAAGAGTGTATGATTTACATTTTCTGTTTGCATTCTCTGTTTGCATCTTTCTGTTTGCAATTTTATGTGTAAGAGTGTATGATTTACATCTTATGTGCATATTACTTAATTACAATATATGATCAATGGCTCAACATAAACATAAATTGTGGCACAGATAATAAACATCAATCATAACATAATAATAAAAAGCTTCATTCATATTATATATGCATAATACTTAATTACATCCATTGCATTGTTCAAAAGGGTAAGCTTCATCCTACAGCTTACTAAAACTACCTACCAAATATACTTACTGTCAAGGGAGTGACAAGTCCAAAAACCAACCTAGACACCTTGTCACAACAACCTAATTCCCTTGACAGTGGAAAGACCTAACATAAGTACAACTTAAAAAAACTTAAAACATAAACATCAAAAGCTTAAACTAGCAGCATCATCCCTAAAAAAAGCCTAAGTCTGCTGCATCCAGCCCCCTGCGCCCCAATGTCATCTCATCACCATACAATAAGGGGAAACCGTCGAAGTAGACAGTCATATCCTTGTTCAGCCATGTGTGGAGGTCACGACCATTGTTGTACATCAAATCCCTGAGGACCCATTCCTGAATTTGAGCCCTGTGACCATAGAAAGGGTAATGAAAGTGCAGGTGGCGCAGGCGCCACCACATCCTCCACCTCTTGCAGGTCTGCTCGATGCCCATCATGCCAACAAAGTCCACCTTGGGGAAGATGTGAGTGACCAGGTTCTCGTGCTGGCTCATGAGTGGGTGGGCCTCATCAAGTGCGTCCAAACCTAGGTTGGTCAAGAATTCCATTAGAATTGTTCAGGGTTCAAACTACATACTTAAGCACTAATTGATGGGTTAATTAAGATAATATTAACAGCATTATCGATGTTAATTAAACTAATCAACAAAGCACATCAAGCTTTACACCTTTAACCATTTAAAATCCCCAATATAAACATAAAAAAATTAACTTTACAACACCCCACACACAATATCTCACTTTCACCAACAAAAGACAAGCTTCAACTTTTCTAAAAGTAGACAAATTTCGTTTTTTAAGTATAACACACAAAAACGTGTAAAAACAAACAATCAACAGCAACAAACCACAAGCATTTATCAGTAGCAGACAAAAACAGGGAATATACCTTCTCCAAAAGCAAGTCTTTGGGCTTTCCCAGCATATCCCTGAGCTAGTCTGCACTTAGGCCAAGACATTAATGGCGTCCTTCTTCTTCTAAATAAAAGTGTTTTTTTTTTGGAAATTTGTTGTAGTACAAGTTGATGTACACTGCTCCCCTTAAATAGACAGAAGTGGCTTCTTGGAGAAGCTTCTAGGGAATTAATCTCGATCGCTCATTTCTCCCGCGTAATTTACTCCATTTTGGGAGAAGTGTAGCCCCGGGTGTTGTTCCCTAGAAGCCATCATTACATAGCTGCAGCAAAATTAATTTTTTTATAAATTCTTTAGCTTGCTATTAACCTGCTATAATAAGTCACCTACTGGAAAAGTAAGGTCCGACCGGTTTCAGTACCCAACTTGCAACAAAGCTAAGTTGGGTACCTAATTTGCAACAATGGCCAAAGTTCAGTACCCACATTTTATAATTACTCTTTTTTAAAAGTACATCATTTTAATATTTGATAACTTTATACCACTCCGTATATTTTATCATTTCTCTCTCTTATTTTAAACCTCACTCAAATTATTTTATCATTTCTCCATATTTCATGGTCCTCATTTAAATAATAATAGTATCTACCTGTAGGGAATATTTCAAGCGTTAACCCCTAGCTTGAACCCCATTGTGATCATACACTAAAGTACAGTGGTGTCCAAAGGGAAAGAAGATAGAGCAAAAGACTCGACAACAAGTTTTTTTAAGGAACTTGTAAACCGTTCACGAGGTGAAGGTTACACCCCTTAACGATCCAAGAGATCGTCAACTCCATAAGGTCTTGAACCAAATAGGGTTCGGGGATGAAGGTACAAATCCAACATAAAAGAGATTGAACTTGCCCTAATAATAGGCCTCTACTTTATTCTGATCGTATTCAAGGGCGCTTTCTGACTAACATGCAATCAATAGGATTACCCTAAACCTGTTTATCTACGTTGGTTGAATATTAATGCACAAATAAAACTATTATTGGCGATCACTTGAATTATAATCATATTAACCCTAAACAAGATTATTAATATCTTATTAAGCATGATTACAAGTACAAATTCCCTTTAAACATGCATAAAAGGTGTGATCAAGCAATAAAAAAATAAATAATATCAAGCAACATAATAATAAATCATCATAATAACAAATTATAATTTAAAATAATCATGTTAAAGCATAAGAATAGCAAGATCCTAGGCATGATACTAATAAAATTAATAACAAACCCTAGCATGTCACTAAGCAATAAAAATCAAAGCTTTAACCCTAACATGATACTAACAATCATAAATATTAGGAAGAACATAAAAGGCATCATACTTTTAATCATACTTAATATTAAAGTTACCCTAGACATGATACTAGGAATCAAAATAACAATCTAAACATGATTTCTACATCATAACATCAATAAAAACATTAAAGTACTTACTTGGATGCCTCGTACCTCTTTCTAATAACAAAATACACACGTTAGTATCTTCAAGGAAAATAATAAACAAAACAATTAAATTAAATAATTGAAAGAGATATTTGGGACCAAACCCTCATAAATTAAACCTTTCACGTCTAGGGCGAAGACAACTTCGAATATGGCTAGGTGTTTCTAAATCTAATGAATGCGGAATTTTTGTATTTGTGAAAAAGCTAGTTTAGAAAAGAGAGAGAGAGTAATCAAGAGAATCTTGATAAGAGTTGGTGAATGAAAACGGAGTTTTTAGAAGACTATTTATAGAGAAAATCAGCCAAAAAGATAAAAAATCAAAACAGAGTTCTGACGTGTAAAACCAAGTTAGCGCCAGACGCTGACATTAGCGCCAGGCGCTAACGCTAGCGCCAGGCGCCAAGCTTAGCGTCAGGCGCTAATGCTGGCGTTTGGCGCTGACTAAGTTTTTGACGTGTTTTCTTAAAATCAGATAGAAATTGTCGTACAGGAGGATAAAATCGTATTTTCCTCAAAAACGTTCTTTTATTCTGATAAAAACACTAAAAAAAGTCAACAAAAGTCAATTTATCAATGATAATTGAATTAGGAATGAAAAGAACCTTCTAGAAGAATCTAGAAGACTAAAACCATTCCTAATTGCTTTAGGAATGATAAATCTATATTAGGCCCTCCTCTAGATCATTGGGCCGCATATAAGGCTCAAACCAGGCCCAGTTCGGTAATTTGACCATAACTTCCTCAATATTCATCGGAATTGGGCTTATAATATATCGTTGGAAAGCTCTTTTCAAGCCCCATCCAACTACACTACTATTGGACCCATATCATGGACCAACCAAACTGGATTGGCTGTTTTCTTTAAAATAGGTTTTCAAAAACAGAGAGAAGAGAAAAGAAATTAAAACTATCCGCAACACTAGACTTTCCACACTTTCACTTCATTCGATTATGATTCAACGTAAAAGTTATTCATCACCAGGTTTGGTTTTGGGGAGACACAAATGGGTGTCTACAAAAGCCCCCACTTTGACTGAGTTTGGAGAAATGCAAGTTTCGAAAACAAAAGTCAAAGTAGCGATAGGGACGGAGAATGACTCAGAACGTTTTGCGATCCAAAATCATTCTTGTAACGCCGATACCTGCAAACTAGCGTTAGTTAAACAAATAAAAGAGTTAAGAAACACGTATCTTGCAACGTCGAGCACACGTCTCTGAGGGTAACTGATTTGTTGCTGCATTTGTTGTTGTGACAACTTTCCACAATCTAGGGAACGCCATCCTGCTGTTTTAATGTTCACTCGTCTCTGAACAATAGAGATTTTTAATGATATGCCCACGCGTCTCTGGAGCAAAAGAGCTTGATAATAGGATGCCCACGCGTCTCTGAGCAAAAGAGATTGAAAGAAATGTCCACGCGTCTCTGAACAAAAGAGCTTGAAAGAAATGTCCACGCATCTCTAAACAAAAGAGCTTGATGATATGTCCACGCGTCTCTGAACAAAAGAGCTTGAAAGAAATGTCCACGCATCTCTGAACAACAGAGCTTTTGAATAATATGCCCACGCGTCTCTGAGCAAAAGATCTTTGATGATATGTCCACACGTCTCTGAACAAAAGAGCTTGAAAGAAATGTCCACGCGTCTCTGAACAAAAGAGCTTAAAAGAAATGTCCACGTGTCTCTGAACAAAAGATCTTTGATGATATGAATGTTTGTTGTGATAATATTCCGAAGAAAACTTCTGAAGACCAACGCTTGTCGATCTTTAAAGCTCGCTTGAACTTTGCTTCTGCTATGCCAGTACGTCAGCGCTTTTGTTGCTTGTGAACCATTATGTCGGTGCCTCTGCTGTTTATGAACCAGTATGTCGGTGTCTCTGCTGTTTATGAACCAGTATGTCGGTGTATCTGCTGTTTATAAGCCAATATGTCGGTGTCTTGCAATGAGCCAATGTTTAGGCGCTTTAAGCTAAGTGAAACGATCTTTCTTCAGGTCAATCACTTATTACGATAGTAATCAAGCCAACTACTTAATCATGTCAAATTTCTTATAGGGGCTAACTGGCGCACCAAGGAACCCGAAATTGCTGTTCTGAGAGTCTTTGAGCTCCGTCGCTGCTGAAAAGTTGTTGGCGCCACGATTTGGCTCTGTCGCCAGACACTGGAATCTAGCGCCTGGCGCTGAAATCTGTTGCCAAGTGCTAGATGTTGTCGTCTGGCGCTAGAGCAGGGTCTTCCCTATTCTGCTCTTGCTGCCGCTGGGATGCACCTATATTTATCTTTGACTATAGGAGTTTGCTAATCTCTTTAATTATTTTAGGGTTGACCTAAGGTTTAACGTCGCTTGACTCATTGACTTGACATGACTCAAGATATAAACTTGACTCACTATGATTGACTGACTCGAGGTTGACTCGACTCGACTCGACGTGAATCGTGTGTGTGTAGTGTTGACTCATGAAACTCGATATGTACATGACTTGAAATGCAGAAAAACAAAAATTTCCGTCATTTTTGTGGAGGGTACCGACTTTCTCCCGAAAAAGAAAGACGCGAAAAAAGAAAGAAACGAATTTTTTGAAGGTGCATGTTGAATGAGCTTAGTCAAATGTTGTGCAAGGATTAATTCATCCTAGGCTATCTCAATGGTTGACTCAATGATGAAAGTATTTGGGTAACTTAGGCACGGAGGCTAAGCACTTCATACTTCGTGATGCAATGACAATTATGATTGATGAGTGATGTTGATATGACAAGGCATGCTTCAACGTTGTGCTAAGATTCCATGACAAAGGGTTCCTAAGGGAAGGTATATTTGGTCATGTATTTGTGATGTGTGTGAAAGTGATTCTAAAGCTAGGTTGGAAGGGCTAAGTGTGTGGAAAGATATTATTTTGAGAAGAGTCAAAAGATGGTGACTCTTAGGCTAGGTAAGTTAATAATGTAGGGATCAAGCCCCCAAGTTTAGCTCTAAGTAGATAGGGATGAGCATAGGAGATCCCTTGATATGATCATGGTGTGAGTGTAATGAGAATATGAATGCATTTTTATTATGGCCGCACCCCAATGTGAGGTTGCCTACGTATCCATTAGGAATCAGGCCGAACGTAGCTCTAGCCGAACCTCGCACAAGTGTGTGTATACCTCAAAAAGGTCTTTTTAAGGGTTGTAACGTGGTTAGGATAAAGGTTATAGAAGAAAGGGATAAAGGCTCAAGACCCTAGATAAGCCCCTAAGGTGTGTAACTTTGCTTTTGAATCTTTATACTTTTATGCTTGAGGCTTTTAACTCTTTTTTAACTCTCTTTTATCTTTTGCTTTAGCATCTATTTTATTTTTATAAGTGTGGGCAATGTCGATCATGCGGTCTATCACTCACTTGGCATTCATGTTTCTCAGGCACGGTACCAAGCACTCGATAAGAGACGCAATCTGGGACGTGTTCATATCAAAGACATTGGAACACTTGCCCTTTGTACACTTTTATTATTATTATTTTTTATTTTTTGTTTTTTTAGTCTTTTGAAGTCACTCAAGCTTTTTGAAGTTACATAAGTTACACACCATCCCATCCCAAGGTTAGGTAGATGTAGGTTGAAAATTGAAAGGTCTATCGTTAGACGAGGCTCAAAGTGGTTTATCAAAAAAGGATTGCATATTTGAAGGGTGAAAGGTAATATGATGTGGCTACAAGGGGTGCCTTAAATCATTGGTATACCTTGTGCTTAATTCGACATGG